CAGTTTATGAGTTTATATGTAAATTTTAATTTTGTATAAATAAAGAATAATATTAAATAAAAGAAAGATAAACTTAATTATAATAATAAAATTATTTAAGCTATTAAAAGAATAAAAATTACATTAAAATTATTAAGCTATTAAAAGAATAAAAATTACATTAAAATTAATCAAGTAGAAATTGTGTATTACTAGGTAGAGAAGCTACTGGAGTTACTAAAATAAAAAATATTAGAACTATTTAAATATAAATTATTAATAATATTAAAATTTAATTTTATTTACCTTCAGGTTTTGCGCAAATTGTTCTTACCATTGAATCAACAAAAGCTACAACTAAGTTAGCAGCTGCTGTCCAAAAAATAGCCGAAACTGATGTAATTAACTTTTCCTCTATTAAAGTACCCCACCAAGTCATAAGCACGGATGTAACTGCGCTGACAATAGCTGCGCCAAAATAATATGCTACAATTCCTATTAAAATAGTAGCAAAAATTCCCACTCCTGCTTTTACTGCAATAGCACAACCTTCATTTAGATCTCTTTTATTTAAATCATTAAAAAGACCAATATTTAATCTAAGGCCTGAACTTGATTTTTCAACAAACAGAGCAAGAGAACCGGCCTTAGTTATTAATGTTTTGTCTCCATAATTACTATTATTTGGTAATAAGAATGCTTCAAATATTTTTTGTTTCATATAACTTAAATTACTATAGCATTTAAATATAAATATTTTTGTTTAGTAAGTCTAATATTTGCTATGCTCTATTAGATTTTGTTAGCAAACTAAAACTTATACTCACTTATATCTTGAAATACTATACATTTAGGTTATAGTTCAGAAATGTATGTTAGTATAATTTTAAAAATAAATTCAAATTATATTTTAATACTAAAGTTTTATATATACGCATACTTATAATCTAATGATAAAAAATATATAAATATATAAATTAGTCTGAGTTATAAATTTTAATTTAAAGAAATAATTGAAATACATAAATCAACCCGGTTTATCATAATTTTTAAAGTTAAAAAAAAAAAAAAAAAAAAATACCTTCACCAAAAACTGGTTCATGAACAAAAGTGGCAATTATAAAATTTGGAATAATCAAAGCAATTAGAAAAATTAAAAATAGTTTAATTGACATTCTGATAAAATTTAATCGAGATAAAATTAAAAAATTAATGCATGAAATAAATCAAACATAATTATATATATACTAGAATTCTTGCACTTACTGATGTACAATAGTTTACCAGATTAATGAATAAAAAGAGGTTGACAAATAAGTAAATTTATAAATGATCATTATACTCACAAATTAAATTAATTTGAATAAGTGAAACTTGATGAGAAGACACTTGTTGATTAAATTGGCATGAATAAGAAATTAATAAAGTGAATAGGCATGAATAAAAATTAATAAGTGAATAGACGTAAATAAGAAATTAATAAAGTGAATATGAAATTAATAAAGTGAATAGGCGTGAATATGAAATTATAGCAATCGTACTATACTGATCGGCAATAGAGATACATATCACCCTACGTAGGGTATTTCATATCGCATATCATATACTTATTAAGTAGCTGTGCGACATAGTCACGCCAAACCAGTCATTATTTTATAATAAAAAAAAAATGAAATTTCAAACATTAAAAGAATCAATTAAAAATTAAAGTCAGTCTGTCCAAAAACTGTTGATCTATGGTCTATACTGATTCAAAGACTGCTATAGAGATTGTACCCGTTGAGAAAATCACTACC